CACCGTTCCCTCTGATTGGACGATAGTTACCATGGAATCAGTCCAAGTACTCCCGACTACTACAGGGARTGTAGGAATTTGTACAACTGTCCACATCCCCAAAGGGCCCGCCAAGCCCGAGGCCGAACGTACACAGCTCAGGGAAAACTCCTTCGCGCGCTTTTTCGAAGTTTTCAACGGAATCCAGTTACGCTGCCAGGTTTATTTTCAGGAGCGATGCAAATGCAAAGTCTTTCAAGCGTTATCAAATTCCTACACTCCCCGTAGTAGTCGGGAGTACTTGAACTGTTTCCATGGTAACTGTCGTCCAATGAGAGGGAGTTTGAAAACGGTGTCCATCAAGGTTGATGAATGCTTAAACGGATTCATAAATTGAGTCAGAATAGCGTAAAAACATGACGATTTGGCACGGTTGGATTTGAAGTCCGTTGAAATGTTGCCCAATTCTGGATAGAAGGATCCTAGAGACATTCCGCTGAGGGGATTTTGGAGGCAAAAGATGGATTTAAGATATTTTTTTCGGTCTTCAAAGACGATTGGTGTGGAAGTTCTTTAACCAGCCTTGAAGCCTTTTATGACTGATGGCGATATTTTTTTTTAAAATAGCTCTAAATCCCTTCAAAATCACACACAGCAATGTTAAATAACATCAGCAACACATGAGATTAGGGTAAAATGTATTTTATTAAAAAAACAATTTTGAATCAAATGCTTTGCTTGGGTTGCCTGTGGTATGTCATTCTGAAACTTGTCTACAGCTCTTAGTTAGATATCACTCTATTCGATCCTATTATATAGAGCGGATTTCGTCTGACTRCAAAGAACACGGTACGTTTGCGCTGTGACCGTACCGTGCCGTAGTGATGTATTGTTATATCTTTATTTTTATTTGGAAYCCTAGAAGGCGAGGTTCTGTGACCATACCGTGTCTGTGTTGCGATCCGTGCAGTTGGACAGTCATACAAATTCCGCTCTATGCAGTCTGGTACTGTCTGGGCCTTCGTCATAGACCTTTSAGAGTCAGTATATCGACTATACGTATCAATCAACGGGAACGTATAAGATACTCGTAATATAACCGAATTATTTATGTTTACAGTGGAACCTTATATGTGACCGCGCGTACCTGGCCGCTACTATCCAGTCGTGTTATTTTGTTGGGATGCTCTTTGGGTCGTTGATCACTGGAATGATTTCTGATGCTTGGGGAAGAAAAAAGTGCATTTTCGCTTCTAATCTTATAATGGTACGCAACTTTGATGATTTTTTTAGTTTTCTTTCTTTGTGTTTTGTTCCAGTATTCTATTTATATCATACTGCAAATCATTAAAAAATGCATTATCTTTTACTGATGATTGGGATTGTCAAAAATATGGCCCAAAATATTTATTTTTAGTAAAATTTCGGCAGTCAGTAAATATGTTCTTGTCGATAGCCAGCAAATTTTGTTCAAATTTGCCGCTAGTCTGTTKTTATTTTGTCCATTTGTCGCTAGTMGGCTAACCTYATTCAGAYCCTGTCATCATGGGATTGGGTRAAAATAAYCAATTGYTATAATACAATAATATATAATAAKATATTTCTAACTTCACCCTGCTTAATTAAAGGTATTGGCCGGAGTTGCATCGTCATTTGTGGATTGTGTTTCGTTCTTGGCATTTCTKCGTTTCTTGGTTGGATTCTCACTTCCTGGAGTCATGCTACCATTGTTTATATACGTGATGGAATTCGTTGGTCCTTCATACCGCACCGCAGCCGGCAACTTCAATTTATTTGTGTTCAGTTTTGTTGGATTATGGACTGTATTTTGTGCTTACTTCCTTCGTGATTGGAGATGGTTTCTTCTCGTTTGTACTGCGCCAGCAGCATTGCTTTTCCCGTTTTGGAAGTGAGTAATCACTGCTTTTCTTTTTTGGGGGGCATATTTTCCCGTCAAACTCAAAATGTCTACTTGCTATAAAATCTCTGAAGATTTTTAGTATGGYCAAAAAATTGACCATGGCAACATCATCGCAGATCTTCATGTTAACATAGCCTCCTCCACAGGCATTACTAAGAATCTTTTTGATAGCTTACTGGATTCCCAGGAAAGATTATGAGAAGAGTACAAACACTTAGCTAGTCTAGTCCTGGCCTCCTTTCGACCTGCTCCAGGACTCGCGGAGTCCAGTGTAACTTGCATGCGCATGCGGAAAACAAGCCAATCAGATTAATAGTCACACACGTAGCGACCGTTTTGAATTTTCAAGCCCCTTCGGAATTCACAATCTTTCTTTATTCACATTAATCTTTTTTTGTTTGATTCATTCGTCTGCTTTTGTCTGTGTTAAGACCCAACTAAACCGGCTCTAAACTTAAGTAATAGCATGGCTTTTAAGCAATTGTTTAAAAGTTCGTTGTGGGAAATCAGTGACAGTGATCGGATTTCCAATATCATTTTGTACTGCTGTTCTTTGAAAACCTTTTCAATGACACAATAAAGTACTTGATATTCTTAGAACAGTGCGTATCCAATCTTTTCATGTCACATTCCAATTCATGAATGAATTGTTTGTTGCAATTTTTATATTACTTCTGATTGAACACATTGGAGCATGCAAAAAAAACAAGAATTCAAATTCGCTCAAGTTCAACTTCATTTTTTTCCTCGGAAATCATGGTATTACAAAGTAATAGCATGGCKTCCTCGGGAGATTAGGGATTAAATGTACCTCAGCCTCGGGCAGATAAGTAAAAGTCTCTCCGGCCTGCGGCCGTCGGGACTTCACCTTATCTGCCCTCGGCTTCGGGGACATTTAATCCGTAATCTCCCGAGGAAGCCATTCTATTACTTATAATAATACGATTCAAACGAGGAAAAATAATTCATTTGTTTTCCAGGTGCCAAGGACAATAATAATCGCAGATAAAAATGACATTCCATNATTTACCAAGTAAGTTCACTGTTAAGGTCTGTAAAGTCTTCAAATAACAGACGAAATGTCCTTTTTCAAGATTATTTACAGAATGTGAATAGTGTAATTTTCTGCTTATCATATTTTACATATGAAAGCAAATTCTGTCGTCAATACCTTTTTTCTTACTTCCACTATATAGAGAGACCTTGAATGTGTAAAGGAAAAATCTAAGTATTATATAGACAATTTTATGATAAATTATAATATTTTGTTTTTTTTTGGTGTGTTCTATAGGTGGGTTGTAGCGATAGTAAGTTTTGGGATTTTGCTGTTTTTCACCCAGCTTGCTGGAAGTCCCTACATCAACTTTCTTATTATGAATGGAGCAGCTGCACTTAAAATCTTTGTCACCTTTGTTACCTACTTGAAGTAAGTATTTACTAATACCTTCCACAATTCAATGACAACTTATTAAAAYTGGTGGCTTTAAATTCAAAAAACAAAAGGACCCACCATATTCATGACATCATCAACCWCTTCTTCGAATAGTCTCGTTCATGGTTACYTGCGCCATCTTGAAAGGTAGGCGTGCCTTTACATCGAAGCGAGACAACCATTGAGCGTGCAATGATAGATACCTGTGAAAAATTGTCTGTAAGTGTGAAAGAAGGTTTCTATCATACACCTTTTCAGTTGCACTTAGGCCTCGATAGCAAGTTAATTATTCTTTTGAATTTGTCAAATAAGACTATTCATATCAATGTTTGCATTGCTCACATTCCTACAAATTCAAAAGAATATTTAACACGCTGTCGAGGCCTAAGAGCAACTGAAAAGGTGTATTGCACGCGGTCGTCTCGCATCGATGGAAAGGCACGGCTACCTATCAAGATGTCAAAGACTATTTTAAATTTGTTGGTAAACGATTTTCGTAAGAGAGAAGAATTTCAGTAGCTATCCGAGAAATATAAATAACCAAATGAAATATTTTTCCATATAGGTGTTGTGGAGGCGCCTAGAAGAAAGAAAGTGCGTTTAACTGTGTCAGTTTGACCATTTCTTTTTCAACAGATTTGGACGTCGTATTACTCATGCTGCTTTTATAGTGATTACT